AAAAAAAAAAAAAAAAAAAAAAAAAAAAAAAAAAAAAAAAAAAAAAAAAAAAAAAAAAAAAAAAAAAAAAACAAGGCCAGATGATTTCAGTGCACAATTCTACCAGATATTCAAAGAAGAACTGCTACTAATACTCCTCAAATTGTTCAACACAAAGAAGCAGAAGGTTCATTGCCAAACTCTCTTTACAAGGCTACCACTGCCTTGGTACACAATCCACACAAAGACACAACTAAGAAAGAGAACTACAAACAGATATCCTTCATGAATATTGATGCAAAAATACTCAATAAAATACTGGCAAATCGAATCCAAGAACATATCAGAAAAATCATCCACCATGAACAATTAGGCTTCATCCTGGGGATGCGGGGTTGGTTCAACATACAAAAGACTAACAATGTAGTCCACCATATAAACAAAATATAAAAGAAAAACCACATGATCATCTCACTAGATGCTGAAAACGCCTTTGACAAAATCCAACACCACTTCATGATAAAGGTCCTGGAGAGATCAGGGATGACAGGAACATACCTGAACATAATAAAAGCAATATACAGTAACCAACAGCCAACATCAAACTAAATGGAGAGAAAATTCACACAATTCCTCTAAAATCAGGAACAAGACAAGGTTGTCCACTGTCTCCATATCTCTTCAATATTGTACTTGAAGTTCCAGCTAGAGCAATACGACAACAAAAGGAGATCAAGGGGATACAAATCGGAAAGGAAGAAGTAAAGCTTTCACTAATTGCAGATGATATGATAGTCTACATAAGTGACCCAAAAAAACTCTACCAGGGAACTCCTACAGCTGATTAACACATTCAGGAAAGTAGAAGGATACAAAATTAACTCAAAAATCTGTAGCGCTACTATATACCAATGACACATTGGTGGAGAAAGAAATCAGAGAAACATCACCCTTTACAATAGCCAAAAACAACATAAAACATCTTGGGGTAACACTAACCAAACAACCTGTATAGCAAATACTTTGAGTCTTTAAAGAAAGAAATGAAAGAAGATACCAGAAAATTGAAAGATCTCCCATGTTCCTGGATAGGTAAGATCAACATCGTAAAAATGGCAGTCTTGCCAAAAGTAATCTATACATTCAATGCAATTCCTATCAAAATCCAGAACCTTCACAGACCTTGAAAGTACAATATTCAACTGTATATGGAGAAACAAAAGACGCACGATAGCCAAAACAACCCTGTATAATAAAGGAATTCCTGGAGGCATCACCATCCCTGACTTCAAGATCTATTATAGAGCTATAGTCCTGAAAACAGCTTAGTATTGGCACAAAAATAGACAGGTAGACCAATGGACTCCAATTGAAAATCCTGATATTAACCCACATACCTAAGAACACCTGATTTTCGACAAAGAAGCTAAAGATATACAATGGAATAAAGAAAGCATCTTCAACAAATGGTGCTGCCATAAATGGATGCTGGCATGTAGAAGACTGTAGATATATCCATGTCTACCACCATGCACAAAACTAAAGTCCAAATGGATCAAAGACCTCAACATAAATTCAGCCACACTGAACCTTACAGAAGAGAAAGTGGGAGATACCCTGGAACAAATTTTTACAGGAGAATGCTTTCTGAACATAACTCCTGCAGCACAGACTCTGAGATCAAAAATTAATAAATAGGGCCTCCTAAGACTGAGAAGCTACTGTAAGGCAAAGTACACAGTCAGCAAGAAAAATGGCAGCCCACAGAATGGGAAAAGTTATCCACTGACCCCACATCTGACAAATGGCTGATTCCCGGAATATACAAAGAACTCAAGAAGCTAGTTTCCAAAACATCAAATAATCAAATTAAAAAGTGGTGTCCTGAACTAAATACTCAATTCTCAATAGAGGAATCTAAAATGGCTGAAAGGCATATAAGAAAATTTTCAACTTCTTAGCCATCAGGGAATGCAAATCAAAACACCTCGGAAATACCATCTTACTCCTGTAAGAATACGTAAATAAAAACCTCAATGACAATTTATGCTGGAGAGGATGTGGAGAAAGGGGAACAGTCCTCCACTGCTGGTGGAAGTGCCCACTCATACAGCGACTTGGGAAATAAGTGTGGCAATTCCTCAGGAAAATGGGAATCAGTCTACTACAAGATCCAGCAATTTCACTCTTAGGCATATACCAAAAAAGGAGCACATTCATACAACAAGGACATCTGTTCAACCAAGTTCATAGCAGCATTGTTTGTAATAACCAGAACCAGGGCACAACCTAGATGCCCCTCAAGTGAAGAATGGATACAGAAAATGTGGTACATTTACATAAAGGTGTACTACTAGGCAGAAAAATAAAACAATAGAATCATGAAATTTGTAGGCGAATGGATGGAACTAGAAGAAAACATTCTGATGGAGGTAACACAGCCACAAAAAAACAAACATGGTATGTACTCCCTCATATATGGATTTTAGACATAAAGCAAAGATTACCAGCCTATAATCCACACCTCCAGAGAAGCTAGGAAACAAGGAGGACCCTAAAAGAGACATACATGGTCCCCCAGAGAAGGGGTAAGAAAAAAAATCTCCTGCGCAAATTGGGAGCATGGGGGAAGGGGAGAGGGAGCTAGGAGAATGAGAAGGGAGGAAGTGGAGGGTTGAGGAGAACATGAGGGAGCAGAAAGTTTGAGTGGGGGGAAGAATAGAGGAGTGCAAAATAAGAGATACCATAATAGATGGAGCCATTATAGATGTAAAGGGATATGAGGCACTAGGAATCTATGTGGTGATCTACAAGGATGACACCAACTAACAATCTAAACAACAGAGGAGAAGCTGCCTTCAATGCCCTCCTCTGATAATGAGATTGATAACTACCTTATATGCCATCCTAGAATCAGACACCCACATTTAAACACTGAACTGAACTGGAATCCAGTTGCAGAGAAGGAGGAATGGTCTGCAAAGGGGTGAAGACCAGGCTGGTGAAACCCAAAGAAACAGACAACCTGAAGATGTGGGACCTCTTGATCCCCAGAGTGATTGCTGTGAAACCAGCATGGGACTTATCTAAACCCCATATGCATGATTGTCAGTGAGGAGTCCTTGGAAATCTATGGGGCTTCTTATAGTAAATCAGTACTTATCCCTTGTATATAGAAATGGACTTTTTGAGCCTATTCCACATAGAGGGATACTCCCTGAACCTGACAGGGTGGGGCAGGGGGCTAGGCCCTATTTCAAAGGATATGACAGACTCTTAAGACCCCCATGGAAGGCTTCATCCTCCCTGGGGAGAAGAAATGGGATAGGTAGTGTGTTATTGGGGGGCAGTGGAGGAGGGGAGGGAGAGAGAACTGGGATTGACATGTAAAACAGTCTTGTTTCTAATTTAAATAAAAAATGGAAAAAAAGAAAAGGTAGAGGGAAGAAGTGATGGAAGAGGTGGATTCTACAACCAAATTTTGTGGGTGGCAAAAGCCAGAATATACAAATATCCTTGCAGACCTTAGGAGAGTCAGATAAGTGGCTTGGTTCAGAGCTGCCAAGTTCTTTGAGGAAAGAACTTATTTATGCTACTCCCATGGATTCAGCACCAGTTGAATGGAAAAAAAAAGAAATTAAAAGGAAAGAAGATGACTTTGCCTAGTTGTGTTGGAGGAAAATGTATATTATAGATATGTGGAGAGGACTGCCTAAGGCAGACACATATGGAAGAGTCTAGAGTAGTCATGTTCCTGACCAATATGAGGAGAGGAGGGAGGGGAAGACAGAGGGAAAGTGGGAAACTAGATGCAGCAAACTGTAGTCCAAAGGTACAAAAGAACGCTAAAATAATATTTGTTATTTAAAGCGCACTATGTCATTCACAAAAATGAAATGCTATATATCGGAATTATATAATGAGTGATAAATTGCTAGATTTCATCTCTAGAGTTTCTCATAAGCAGTCTTGTCAGGAAGTGATTTAAGTGATGTATTGAGAATTTATCCTGTAAAGTTATAATAGGATCTCCTCTCCCTCCTTTCTGTCTCTTTGAAAAGAGCAAAAACTTAAGAGACAGAATCACAACATAATAAGATAAAAGGTAAAACAAAAGCTATGACATTGAAGGGTGGACGGGGCAAACCAGTGGGAGGAAAAGGTCCCAAGATAAGGCACAAGAATAAGAGACTAACTTGTTCACACACTCAAGAATGCTGTAAAAATACTGAATTGACAGCTGCAACATATATTCAGAGGACATGGTGCAGTCCAATACAGGCCTTGTTTCAGTCTCTGTGAGTTCATATGAGCTTTGCTCAGTTGACTTAGAGGGTCTTGTTATTCTGGTGCCTTCCATCCACTCTGGCTATTTTACTTTTTTTTACTTTCTCTTTTACAGGGTTCCCCGAGCTCTGAGGAGGAAGAATTTGATGGAGGTATCCCATTTAGAGTTGATTGTTCCAAGATATCTGTCTTCCTCTTTCTTGCTCTGTCTCTGTCTCTCTGTGTGTAATGTCTGGCTGTGGATGCCTGTATTTGTTCCCATCTATTGTAGGAGGAAACTTTCCTGATAACAGATGAACAAGGCACTTATCTGTGAGTATATCAGAATAACCATAGTAGTTCTAAAAGGCCAGTAGTATTTGGCTTAACCCTAGGTTCTTGAACTATCTAATCTCTTTTTCATGCTTACCCAAGGAGTGGAAGGTATATGTTCCATCTCATGGAGTGGGCCTTAAGTCAAATCAGACATTAGTTGGTTACTCTCACAAGTTTTGTGCCTCCATTGCCCTAGCAAATTTTGAAGGCATGACAACATTGTAGATCAAAGGTTTTGTGGCTGGGTTTTTGTGTATATGTCTCTTTGGTTTGGTACCTTCAAATAGCAAAAACACTAGAACTTAGGGGTGAATGATCTATGTAGACACCAGCTTGATATCTCTGTGTTCAGTGCATTTTGAGGATGTTATCATCAGCAATGGGGCCTTGTCAGTTTGTGAAGAGCAACCTACTATTTTGACATAGTAGGTTGCCTGGGTTGTTTTGAGATTTCCATGCAAACATTCTTTGATGACAAGAGATTGTCTGTTGAGACTCCATTTCCCCCATTATTTTGAGATTTCATTAGGGTTACCTTCATATATTTTAAGAAGTTTCCACTCTACTTCATTTCCATACCACCATTTATATGCCCTCAATTCTAGCTGTCTCTCTACTTATTCTCTCCCTTTCCCCACACAATCCTCTGGTTCCATTCCTTCTTGCCCTCAGTCCACCCATAAAATCTATTCTATTTACTCATTTCAGGGAGATCCTTGTAACCCCCAATACCTTCCTCTCTACCTAATCTTTCTGGGTCTACAAATTGGAGCTTGGTTACTATTTACTTAATGTCTAACAGCCATATATAAGCAAGTACATACCATATTTATCTTTCTTAGTCTGTGTTTCCTCATTCATGGTGCTTTCTTTCTGTCTTTCTTTTTCTTTGTAGTTCCATTCATTTGCCTGCTAATTTCATGATGGCATTTTCAAACACTTGAGCAATACTCAATTATTCAAATGTACATTTCTGTCTATTGTAAATAGAGCAGTAATGAACATGGGTGAACAAGTTTCCTTGTGGGAGGGTGAAGAATCTTTTGGGTATATGTCTAAGAGTGGCATAGTTAGATCTTGAGGTAGATCAATTCCTATCTCTTTGAGTAACTACGGTACTCATTTTCATAGTGGCTGTAGAAGATTGTACTCCCGCTAGCAATGGATAAGTATTACTCTTATTCTACATCCTCGCAAGCATGAAATGTAATTTGTTTTATTTATCTTAGCCATCCTGATAGGTATAAAATTGTATTTCAAAGTATTTTTGATTTACATTTTTCTAAAGTCTAAGTCTTGTAAAATAAAACTTCAACTCCTTAAATAAAGTAATTGAAAAATATATCAGATATTGGAAAGTTGTCCCATACTCATGGCTTAGTAAGATTAAAATAGTAAAAATGGTCATCTATTAAAACTAATCTTTAGATTCAGTGCAATTTCCATCCAACTTCCATCAAAATTATTCACAGATCTTTAAAGGATAATTATTCTCAATTTCATATGGAAACACACACACACACACACACACACACACACACACACACTTAAAACAATCCTGAACAATAAAAGAATTGTTACAGGTATCACTATTCCTTATTCAAAGTTGTATTACAAAGCTATAGTAATAAAAACAGCATGGTATTAGTTTAAAAACAGACATGTTGAATGGAATATAAGTGACACTCAGCTGTTAATCCAAACACCTATGGACACTCAATAAAAATTGATAAAGAATTCAGAAATACACACTGGGGAAAAAAAGACAGCATCTTTATCTAATGGTGCTTGTCTAACTGGATGCCAGCATGTAGAACAATGCAAACAGATCCATCATTATCACCCTTACAAAACTCAATTACAAATGCAGCAAAGACTTCAACATAGTAACAGATACACTGATCCTGATAGAAGAGAAGAGTGGGGAGCGGAGAGATGGCTCAGAGTTTAAGAGTACTGGCTTCCCTTCCAGAAGACTTGAGTTCAATTCCCAGCAACTATCTGTGAGATTTGATTCTTTCTTGGGGCATGGAGGTGTACATTGCAGACAGAACACTGTATACATAATAAAATATCTGTAAAAAAAAGGAGAAAAAGAAAGTGTGGAATATCCATGCACTTATTGGTACAGGAAAAGACTTCTGAATGGTACACTATTAGTACAGGCAGTAAGACAAACCATTAAGAAATAGGAACTCAGGAAATTGGAAAGCTTCTGTAAGGAAAAGGACAAACTCATTCAAAGAAAGCAATACCCCACAGAATGGGAGAGACTTTTACCAACACCACATCTGATAAAGGGCTAATTTACAAAATATATAAAGAATCCAAGAGACCAGGAATCAAAATATCAAATAATACAATTAAAGTTGGGGTACATTTCTAAGTAGAGAATTTTCAATAGAGTCAATACAAATGGATGAGAAACACTTGGAGAATATATTTTTAATACAAGAGAATATAACCAGAGAGCTTCTTAACTATGTAAGGTTTTGTGAACATATTTCATTTCATTTGTAAATGTGACTGATTAGATATTTTGCTACTACATTATTGGTATCTCATGATATATATCTCAGGAATCTTTTGGTCTATGTTCATAGGCACTATAAACTATTTAAAAGTCTTTAACCTATAAAACTCTTCATTGTTTTAGTTAAACGATTGCTAAATAAGCACTTCATGGTAATCATTTCCTAATTTAACATTTATTTGACCCTTTATAGTATATTTACTAGCAGAATGTTACAATTCTTCCATCAGCTTTATGTTGCTATGTTTGAAAAATTAAACATACACATTCTTAATAAATAAATGTAATCATAATAATTAAATATAGGTATATAAATATCTTGAACATGGTATGTTCATAAGTTTTTAAAAATACTTTCTTATTAATATAACCTCATAGTAAAATAATGTATTTCTTTATGGCAATTCCATAAGCTTTTTTACCTTACTCTGTCCCTTCTCTCTTCTCCTGCTGGTGTTAGCTTTCTTTATATAGTGTAATTTCTGAGTGACAAAGATTACATTTTCCAATTCTCATAGCATCTATACCAGCATTTCCTTACAGTGTCACTCCTGAATACTAATATTTTTAGTTCCAATGTGGGCCCCCAAAAGGCAGTGCTGCTGACAGTGTTCTACAATATATCCTGGGCTCAAGCCAGGTTAGACTCTGACTAGGTAAATAGAAGGATTGCTATGGGGAAAACAAACAAGCAAGCGAAATCAAAAAGTCAGCATTTGCCAGAACTCTTGTGAAGTGGGATTGTCAGGAAAACTCATTCCTTCTCTTATCTATCTCTAATGGTAAACTACTTTGGCCAAAGGTCAACTTGCTCCTGATTAACTCAAACAGACTGCAACAGAACATAGTGCCCAAGCTAAATCCCAGGCTGTTCTGACCTGCACCCTTTCTCCTATTACTATGTGTCCTCATAAAATTGATAAGGCTTTTTCTGTCGGGCCCCTTTTTCTCCATTCCCCAAGAGACATCCCAGCCATTTGATTCCCAAATAAATTTGTCATACACTTTCTAACTATGGAGTGTTATAGTTTGGAGGTTTCAATGAACCTTGCTTAAAAATATTACTAATAATATTAATAACTGTCTCAGCTTTTGAGGAGAACAAGATGAAACAAAATACCAGATGTTATGTGACACTATTCCTGGGGCAATATAAATGCATGTCTTCTCACCTTAGAGTACAGAGGACAGAGCAAAGCATGTATACCATTACAGTCTAACTAGATGAACCAGTTTTCTTGAGGTAATATATAAGAATATTGATGAGGAGTTACTTATAGAAACAGAAATGGCTGAAAGACAACTGCATCACTGAAAACCATCCTCAGCAATGCTTATTGCTCACAATAGTTGAAGTCTGCATAACCTTTGGTTTTCCAGTGTAAACAGTTGGTCTAAACCTCTTTCTTGTAGGCAGCGGAGAGTGACTTCATAGCAGTCCTTCCTGCTTATATATGACTGAGGAAGGAAAGGACCTAGTGAATCTGATCAGTTTTAGGGACTTCTTTAAGTTGTTCAGTTATTAACTTGTAGGGGAAGCTGTAGCCATGCCAACTTAGGGGCTGGCTACAGGTGTGCCTGGCCACGCTTACGAGGGCATGGTCAGGTTTGCATAGATGGAGACTTTCAGGGGTCTGTGTTTCTCTTTCGGTTTCACTTTTGTACTTGCTGGACAGACTGCTGCCATGCTGGCTGGCTAGGTTGCTCTGTAAGTAAGGCTTTTCCTTAATAATACCCTTATATTTCTACTTGGTTCTGTATTGGTAATTTCCCACTATATCTGGTTGTCAGGAGTGGGATATTGGAAACCTACACCCCATTTGGGACAGGCTGTGGGTTCCACCAGGCCTGCAGCCTTGGCCAGGAAAGCTCCCTCTCTCCATAGGTGCTCCCAGTGTCCTGAAAAAGGTAAAGATTTACAGTAAAGACAGACCCAGATATAGAAAAACTTCTAAAGGTTTACACTGCATTTATGTAGGCTTGTATGTAGGCTTGTGAGAGAAAAAATAACAGGAGGAAATAGAGTAGCCGGTTGTGGTGGCACATACCGGTAGGATTTGCTGAAGGAAGCAGAGTCAGGCAGATTTCCACAGAGAAACCCTGTATCAGGAAAAAAGAAAGTAATAAAAAAGCCACACAAAGATGGAAAATACACAGAGAATCTGGATACTATATGCCACATTGTTGTCTTTAAATTGTTTGATTGCAGAGGAAAGACTTACTGCTGCTAAAATACATTTGATTATAAATGCTGCTAAAATAATCCAACTTATACATTTTAAAAATGCTCTAACTTCAAAATTTAAGTTTAAGGACAGGCTACTTAGAAATAAAGGTTTTTCTTGTATTTCCACAGAAAATAAAAAGCTGTGGATTCCTTCCAGACTAATATGGTTTGATCAAGCAAGATCCCCTAAAGCTGAGATGATACAGCCTTACAGACTACAAAAACAAGGACTTGGTCAGGTTTCTATGTTTTATCATGATCCCAATGATATGAACATTGCCCCCAATCAGCAGGAAGCAGTTTAGAAAGAATGACACCCATATTCCCAAATATTGTTTATAAATGTTTGTTTTCATTTGAATGGGGTTATTTATAAATGATAATGAGCAGAGTCAATTCTTTTTAAAGAAAGAAAAGCTGAATAGGATATAGGAATGAATACTTTACATTGGTAGAGTAATTTTCATTTATTCACACAACTTTAAGGTCAGTTTTGTGATATGTATATGTCTCCTCTTGTTTAGGTATTGTGTTTATACAGATCTTTTATCTATAATAGTTAGAATTTATAATTAATTTAGTTATATTTTCTAAATATAGGATGTATTTCAGATGGTTAGGTATTCTTCAAACCTTTCAAAGACCTACAGAAATATGGCATTTAAATGGTTTAGGATTTATCTTGGCAGTGAGACACAACTGCTCCTGGCACACCAATTATGTCAGAAAGGAGGATGGGCATCGAAGAAACTCGTTATGGAGTTTGCTTTCAACATGGCAAGATTAGCCATTTGAGCAAGAAACAGTTCTTGCCTGTACTGTTTGTTGCTGTATAAACTGGACATGCAGTACCCACAAGAAAATGACTGCTGAACTTACAAAACAAGACAATACTGAAGGGTTCCTATTAAAATGGAGAAGTGTGCTAGACACAATGTGGCCTATAGGCTGAAGATGGATGCTGCAACGTTACAGAGGAACTTTGGGTGACGGTCCAGGTAGCGAGATGTCTTTGTCAATTCTAGAGTTTATATATTATGCTTCTGTGGTCTTTGATAGAGTTGAAGACCGATAGTTATGGTTATAGTTTTCTTCAGTTATTATAAAAGATGTTATCCTTCTTTTATTTAGACAGAAAAGAGGAGATTATGGGGAATGTACTGTGTATGTTTATCTTATTGATTGTTAAATAAAATACTGTTTGGCCAATGAGACAGCAAGTTAGACTGGACTAGGAGTCAAAGAGGATTCTGGGAAATGTAGTAGAGAAGTGGTGATCCAGGCAGGAAGTGACATAGTGAGGAGATTCATATTTAAGTGAAGGAGAAAAAGGAAGGGCCCCTCTTTTCCCCTCAGCTCATGCTCCAGCAGCACGATGTGATCCACTGGCAAGGAGGACGCCAATAAGGCGTCCAATAAGATAAGTCTTATAAAATATATAGGTTTATGATAGTTAAGGCTAAGCTAACAGATGAGAATCATAGTCATTGGCCAAGCAGCACTGCACCTAATACAAGTTTCTGTGTATTCATTTGGGCCCTAACTCAGGCGGGTGGCTGGCGTAAAGCGCACATGTGGCTGTGGGGCTCGGCAGCTTTTGGCAGAAAGATTTATCGTAACATTAACTTCCTGAGATTAATGTGCTTCCATACAGGGTGGAATGTTTTATTTCCCATTAGGACTTCCTGTGCCTTAATAAACTTTCCTACAAGAAGGAATGTTTCATCTCTCTTTTAACTTCCTGCTTTTTAAAGAGGTTCCTTGAAGGGTGGAATACTTCACCTTCCTTTAAGTAGATCTTTTATATTATATTAAGGAGCTTCCTGCTTAGTCTACCTACTTTATCTCAGAAGAAATTGCTGTACAACACCAGAAAGAAAATAAAGTAATCAGATTTGTCATAAATATTAAGAAGAATAAAAATAATAAGAGCTTCCCTTTGAAGAAAAATTATATTACAAAGAAGAGGGGTGTTTTGAGAAAACCTTTATTCTCACACATAAGCCACTTGAGAAGATCTAGCTTTGCTTGAATTTCAGGGAGCAATCAATGGACTTTGCAAAGGAGCAGTTGAATCATTCCAGTTATGTGACCATGTGAGCTCTTCAATAAGGAACTGACCACTTTCTCAGAGACTGTAGCAAAATACTCAGTTTTGAGCATCAGTAGGACTCCTTTGGGCTAAAAAATGTGGTCTGATATGAGCAGATTGCTAGAGTGTCTAAAGGAGGAAAAAGAAGCTATAGCAGTGGTTTCTTTCTATCACATGATTTTCAAGGTTTCTGGTATCAGTGTGAAAAAAAGGTAAAAGAGTTAAATTTGTCTCAAAATATTGGAAACTAGTAGGAACATCAGTGAAATAATTTGTGTGTATGTGTGTGTGTGTGTGTGTGTGTGTGTGATCATGATTTGATGAATAAAAATATGAAATTCACTATCATTCATTATTGAATGGAAATTTATCAGGAAGAATGTTGCTTAGAGATGTCATATACACAGAGCGATATCCAATAATACAAGTTTATTGTGCAATAGAAATATGATGAATATGACACAGAAACAGAATTTTAAATTGTATTTGATTTTAATTAATTTCTATTTCCATTTCAGTTACTACAATTGGCTCTTGGTTTTCATATCAGACAACAGAGACTCAACTCACAAGAGGAGTTGTAGAATATCTTTCAACATTATTTATGCTAGAAATGTGGAGACAGTAAAGAATGTTTGGTGGCTTTTTGACAATAACATTTTTTCTCTGAAAAATCCCACTGATGCTTGTCACTGAGTACTGTATTACAATCTCTGACAAAGTGTCTAGATCCTTTTTGAATATCTCACACGGTGACAAGACTGGCATGTTTCAATTTCTCCTTTGCAAAATACATTGCTCCTTGAAATTCAAGTAAAACAGGCTCATCTCAAGTGACAATAACATTGTCAAAATCAAATCACACCTATTTTGTAGCTTCTGGGCAACATTTATCCAGAGGTTTCTAACCAACGCACACACTATTTTCTAAATGTTACACTTCTTTATACAGATTTTTAAAATGTCCAAGAAATGTCTTTTCTTAGTGTAAACCAAAATATCTTTGTGCATGTTACTCACAAAATCCCTCATGTTAGACTATAATACCTGATGATGAAAATGACTTAGTTCACTATCAAATCTTTTGATGATGTGACCACCTTGACAGAGTGCATATATGGCAATTATATTCACATAGCATCTTTATTTATTTTTTACTTTTTTGGTTTTTCGAGACAGGGTTTCTCTGTGTAGCTTTGGAGCCTATCCTGGCACTCGTTCTGGAGACCAGGCTGGCTTCGAACTCACAGAGATCTGTCTGCCTCTGCCTCTGAGTGCTGGGATTAAAGCTGTGTGCCACCCACGCCCAGCTTCTTTATTTCTTAAATAACAGAAATAATCTAACTGCAGCTTCAGGTACATTTGACCACAGAGATGTACTCTATGAGAGAGACAGCTACTAAAATGCACCTCTAGTTTCCAAGGTTGCCTCATGTCTAGTCTTTAACAGAAGCCAAATCTACTAAAATACAGCTTCCAGTTTTTGTTAGTTCTCCTAAGTCTGTATTCTTCCTTACATGGGCTCAACATTATTTCTTATTTCAGTGCTGATTGCAATTTGTAAAAAAAAAACTGTTGTATTACATACCTATGATATAGCCATTGCAATAATATTTTTTGCTATGAAACACAATCTTACAAGTTTAATGGAATAGAATTTCATACATTTATTGTTTTAATTTTATTTAGTATGAAGTCCAGGAATTGTGTGGATGGAATCTCTGATTTGATATATCCAAATGTCCTAAGGGGGCCATATATCTTAAGGATGCTTTACGGTTGTGCTTGTTAATTTCATTAGCTGTTATAATTAATTCCCTTATGATTGTAAGAATGAGGTCCTTTTTATCCTGCAAACTCTGGATCAAGTATAACTCCTGGGATGGAGAAGCTATCTGTGGTTTCTTTCTGTAATGTCTCTATGGCAGCTTACAACAAGCATATTTTCCTTCTAGGCTAATTGGAGAGACAGAAGGAAAAGAAACTGTACCTGTATCTTGGTAGTTATGATACATGACAATTAGAATGCCCCTTTGTTTGATTTTCTGGAAAAGAATCTCATTTTAAAGGACTTATGTGACTGAGTCATTTGTACTCAGAAAGTCAACATGACTCAATGACAAATAAATTGAGATCTGAATTATACTTGTAATATACATTTATAATGTTGTTTATATTAGCATTTAAGTGATCATCTGACAGAAAGCATGCATATACTAGTTGAGTGGATCACACACATTAGCAATTTACTGAGTCACCAATAATGCATTACTATCACATTAAATAAGCAAAAAAAAAGTAATTTTCTTGTAGCCATTTGATCAAGAGAATCCAGATTGGAATTGTCTACTTCATACACCTGGTGTCTTCTGTCCTCTGTCTGTCTGTTGTATTAGTCCATATATGTACCTACCTGAAGACTGTCTTATAAATCCTTTCATGTGACTGCATCTGTGTGTGTCTGTTGGCTATGTGACTGTGTGTCTATCCCTGTATATATGATGCTCTGTCTGTGTGAAAGAAGCCCCAACAAAAGACTTCTTTCTGTCTTTATTAAGCAGAATAGAAAGCATCACATCAGAAAGGAATAAGAAATATTTTACAGAAATAGTTAACTGATATTTAGAAGGAATTAAGTCACTGGTTGCAACTGACCCAGATATCAAATAGTACTGCAAACATCATTGTTTATAAACTGTCAGTTCTAAAGGAAACTCCATTTTCCCCAAATTGGGGCTTGTACAAAAGCTAGAATTCATCAGGAACTTATAAAACTGTCTCCTTTCTACCAAAAGATGCCATTCCCTTTACCACTAACAAAAAGGACAAATGGCTGTCTATCTGTGGTGCCTATTAGCATATCAAAGAGCATGCTGGTCTCAAGGGCCCTTAGGTATCACAAGTACCTGTTACATATATCAGAGTTCACTATACTATCCTAGATCTTCTCAGCTTTTCTTACCTCCTCCCAAAACCTAAACTGACCCAGCTCATGGGCTTCCCTTCCATCAGCTACTCATTTTTCCTTATAATGCTGTCATTTAGGTTATGCTATTTTGGTCTTCTCTTCATATCCTTCTCTCTCCACTTCTCTCCAGTATTATCCTGCTTATTTCCTAGCCATATCCAGGCTGCTAGACATATTCAATCTACTACTTTCTCTCTCTGCTCTGGAATCTTCATCAACCCCACATATGACAGAGGGCTAATCTCCAAAATATATGAAGAATGCAAGAAACTGGATCTCTAAACTACCAAATAATCAAATTAAAAATGGGGTACTGATCTAAACAGATGATTCTCAACAGAAGAATATCAAATGCCTATAGTGGGAAATTACCAATATGGAGTCAGGTAGAAATATAAGGGTATTTAATAGGGAAAAGCCTTACTTACAGAGCGACCTAGCCAGACGGCATGGTAGTGGTCTGTAACGCAAGAAGTAAAGTGAAACCGAAAGAGCAAACGCAGTCACACTACGTCACTCTGATCATGCCCTCACAAGCGTGGTCAGGCACACCTGTAGCCAACCCCTACGTAGGCGTGGCTGCAGCTTCTCCTACAAATGCCTGAGACACACTTAAAGAATTGTTCAACAACTGTAGCACAAATGCTAATTGGTATTAATAAAAAAAAACCTCAGAGACAGATATTGGGGTTAAAGCTGGAGATCAGAGAAGCAAAGTGGCCAGTCACTAGAGAGTTCCTAGTTCAATCAGTGCTCAGACTGAAAGGACAATCCTGTTCTCAGACTGCACTGCTCTAAGACTGCACTCAGACTGCACTGAGCTCCTATCCCTTCCTGCCTTATATTCCTCTCTACTGCTGGGATCAAATGCTTGGGATCCTAATTTCTGGGATAATCTTTCTGTTAGTTCTGTTTTACTTTAGACTGGATCAATATTGTGTACATCAGGGTGGCCTTGGATTAACAGAGATCTGCTTGCCTCTGTCTCCTGAGTGCTGGGATTAAAGGTGTGTGCCACCACTGCCTGGCCTCTTTGGCTAAACAATGTGGCTATCTTTGCACTCTGATCTTCAGGCAAGCTTTATTTGTTAGATCATAAAAAATATCACCACAAATATGCTTAGCCACTAGAGAAATTCAAATCAAAATAACTCTGAGATACCTGTCAGAATGGCTAAGATAAAAAATATTAATTACAGCTTATGTGGAGTTGATGAACTTTTTCCCATTCTGTATGCTGCAGTTTTGTCTTGGCAGTTTCATGAGGTTCCATTTATTAATGGTCAATCTCAGTGTCTGTGCTACTGGTGGGAAGTGGAAAGAGAAGAGATCTCCTGGGTAAACTGGGGGCCAGGGGTGGGGATGGGAACTTGAAGGATCAGGTTGGATACAGGATGGAAGAGAAGAGTAATGGAAGATATGTCTTGATGGGGATAATTTGGGGGTTTTGGAGAAACCTGGTACCAGGGAACCCCCCCCCCGGGAATCCACAAAGATGACTCCTAGCAATAGTGGAGAAGGTACCTGAACTGGCCATCTCCTGGCATCGTTCTTGCTGGTCAAGGGTGGACGCCGCAAGTGGTGGCCCGTACGGGGAATTCAGAACTTCTCACAGTCGGGGCGGCACCGGTAAGTTCCCAAGGTAAGTGGAACTGTAAAGACCACGGTGAATGTGGAGATAGGTCTCCGGTAAAGGAACACCAAGGTCCTCGGGAAAGAGGAGATAGGTCACCAGTAAAGGAGTACCAAAGCACTCGGGGAAGAGGCAGTAAAGTCTCCGGAAAGGAGCAACACTGTTTGCGACAAAAGCGAACTGAAAGTAAAAAAACTCGCTTCTACTTTAACTTGCAGAGTGAGAGTAAGTTAATGGACCCCGCTATTATAGTGGTGATTTGGTTGCTTTTTAATATCGCAGTGTGGGCTTTTGTTTTCTGGTGGTGTTATCCGACTTGCACACCTTCTGAGCATGCTAACTAAGACAAAAGCACAATGGGATCGTCACAATCACATCCAATTTTTCTGGCTCTTCAAGAGCTACTTCATTCTAACAATTTAAGGTTAACTAAAGCCACATTACAGAGGTTCCTGAGTGAATGCGACACCATTGCACCCTGGTTTGCAGCCTCGGGCAATCTCACTGTGGATAGTTGGGATAAATTAGGGAAAGACCTGGATTTTGCCTGGGAGCAAGGAACGTTGAAGCCGAGTGTTTGCCCAGTTTGGCGTCTGGTGCCCAGCTGTTTAGAGGACAAAGGGGGGAATAAGAAAGCTATAGCAAATGGACAGGCTGCCCTTGAAATGCTCCAAGAAGAAAGGTCAGAACAGTCAGAAAGTGAGAGAACAAAGGAGAAACAGAAAAGGGATAAGAAGCGAGTCTATCCTTCTCTAGGAAGGTTGAGGAAGGAATTAAAAGAACCAGGAGAGGATTCAGAATCAGAGGAGGATATATGTGAGGATGAGGACATCATGGAGGAAGAGGAGGAAGAGATTATTGAGCTCATGGAAAAACATTCATTAAAAGTATCAGAAAAACAGCGTCCTAAAATGGCGACTGTAAAGCAAGGGCACCGCCCTATTGCTCCTCCCCCCTACTGCTCGAAAGAGGAAGTAGGAGGTCCTGGTTGCTCCACCTTCTGTCCGGAAGTGTGGC